TCGCTGGGCCTCAGCTTGCTGATTTGGGGGCAGTAATTGTCCATTAGGTGAGAGACAGGTGCAGCTGCCTCTGTTTGCAGCGTTAACAAGGCATTTCATCATGGTTGGCTCGAGCCTGGCGCTCTGGTCCGCTCCTGCTCTTGTCACAATATGCACACAAATGGACGTGCACACACACACACACAGTGCTCGTAGTGACACTTTGGTGGTCTCTAATGGGTAATCTTGCATGTGGCATCAGTGGATCAGAGGGTCTGAGTTGAAAAATCTGACAGTTTATTTGGTTTCTCCACTAAAACGTGGAGGGGGGTGGGGTACTGAGAGAGGATGGCTTAGTCACCTGATTGGATTAATGAAATGTCGAGGTTTTATTTCCACGTCAGGTTTTGAGTTATGGTTACATTAAAAAAAACATCCCCTTGTTTTTATTGAGGCTAGAAATGTAACATTCAAATAGTTATTATGTCTCACATTTTCGCTGCATCTTTTTATAATGTTTACACAGTTTGCAGAAGTTTTGAAACAAAACTTGCAGTGGTTGATGCTTGCTGACCTTTTAAATATGTGCTCTTTTATAAAATGTGGGATTTTGATTAAAAATGTTTAATAGAAGCAATTCATCACAAGCATAAACGAAGAGAAAACTRTTTGTAGCTAAATTCCAGAGAAGCTATTTCCTCACATTTATCCTTCTTGAATGTGATTTATCACCAGCAAAAAAACAAAACAAAACAAAAACAAAACAAAAAAAAAAAACACAAAAGGCAAATGTTATCATGTAATGATCAATGGATATTAATCTCAGTAGCTTTGTGTAAAGGTCACTGTGGAGGATTTAGAGTTATGAAAAAAAATACCGAGTGTTCAAAGATGGAACACTTAAATTCTTTGACCATCTGCTTTATCAGCTAAGTGTTGTGAGCCACTGAAATGTCAAACTGAGGAAAAGATCATTCTCAAAAATACAAGAAACTATTATAAAGTAGTTCCACTTCCTGGGTCTGAAGTAAAACTCTATGATTAAAACTTTGTAGAGAACTTGTTCACAGGGTGAAACTCCTCCTTTTTGAATTTCCATTTTTASGTTTTCCTATCACTCTCTTCTCCAGTAACCACATACCCTTTTCGTTGCCATCTCACAAGCCCGTCAAACAGATTACTACGGGCGTTAACCTCATCGATCTGCTCCAAATGGCCTCCAAATGCCAGGAATTACATTTCAGACTGGAGCAGGGGGGAAGAAAGTGCTGTGGTATTTCTTCCTGCTTTGCCTTGGAGTTAAGTGCTGTTATGCCATCTTCATCGCACAGAAACACTTTATCCATAGGACTTCTCTTCTTTTTTCTTCTTTTTTTTAAAAGGGCAGTGGCATTTGTGAGTTTTTAACAGAGCATTCTTGACTCATATTTCACTAATGTAAAGGAAAATTCAGATTATCACTGAAAGGTGGGAAGGTTTATTCATAMGTTCATTAAATTTGTGTTTTTGATGAGAGATTTAGTGCAGCTTTTCAGCATCAGCACCACYAAATGTGTCTGACTTTATTAAAATACTCTTCTGTGAGTTAATAATGGAGGGCAGCTTTGATAATGGCGGGTGCACGGTTAATAGGAGCCTAATATGTCATGTCTTTCGCAGCTTCTTTTCAGCAGCTGGCTTACCTCCTCTCCTCCTTTCATTACCTCCACTATCTTCACTTTACGCTTTGTCCCCCTCCTGCACTGCCTCTCTCCCATTTGTTTCATTTTGTCTGTCCAACCKTTTTTATTGCGTCTCCGTAGCTGAATTAAGTATTGATTAATGTTGGTGTGGTTGTGCGGCCTAATGAGAGGCTAAATATAGCCATCACTACAAAAAAACCCTGCTTGGGGCATCCTCCTTCATCCAGAGCATGACAACACACCGGCCGAGGCTTTGTGAGCAGTCACAACAGATTGTGAGCCGATGTCCAAATGTTGAAAAGAATGAATGCAGGTGAAAGAACCATTACAGTAGTTGATAAATGGGGGGAAGAAAACACAAAAAAGTAGGTAAAATCGGTGGGTTCTGATGTTATCAGTCCATGAAATGGACATTATTGGCTATTATCAGTCCCAGAATGGCTTCAGTCTGTCCCGACTGTGCCTTCTAGCGGGTTATCAGTCCCATAGAATGGCTTCAGACTGTCCCGACAGTGCCCCCTAGTGGGTTAATATATCAATGACATTGGATGTGTAAATAACCAAAACATATTTTAATTAGTTTTTTGTCGTGGGGTGGGTCTTGCTGTTTTCTTGCTGCCCGTGCCTGGTCTCAATCCTGGCTTTCCTGCTCTCTGGTCCAGCACTCTACCCATTGCCCTACATTGGGCCTGCAATAATGGTCTAAGGTCATGACCATTTTCTTTAAAATTAACCTTACTGGCTTTATGCCTCATAATGACCAGCCAGTTCTGACGTTATCAGTCCATTCTATGGGACAGAGGACCCACTAGGAGCCACAGTCGGGACATTCTGAAGCCATTCTATGGGCCTGCTAATGACTAATAATGTCCATTTAATGGATGATAACGTCCGAAGCGGGTGCTAAAATTCAACTTTTTTTCTGGACACCAGGTGCTGACATGGCATTAAAAATAAACAAAACATAATATTTTACCACCTACAGTCCATTGTTGCTCCACATGCTAAATCAGCTTACTCCGTCAAAGAGCCCTTTTGTGTTTTCTTTGACAGGTTTAGTTGCCCACACTTCTTTTTTTTYYTTTTTGTTTTTGTTGCATGGTAACCAATTGAGTCACAATCCTTCAATAGCAACCCACCTTCTACCAGGCAGCTGAAGACAAAAWAATAAAAAAAAATTMAAAATGAAGGATAAGCATGTGCTCATAGGATATCTTCTTTAATAGCCTACTGTTTCATGCTGTGTGGCCATGAAAAGGCATGCCCACGGTGTCTAATCACATCTCCTTCTCATTTCACCTGAGGCACATGCAATCAGGTTTTTTTCTGACTGACAACGCTCTATTGGAATCCACTGAGAAAACTTTCCCTTGTTTTTTGCTGGGGGATGAAAAAAAGTGGGAACCCAGCTCCTGTAGCTCTTGTTATGACTTGTATGGATATAAAAGTTGCCCGTTTCCTCATCTCTGCCTTCGCCCAGCTAACGGTTAGGCTAGAATAAAAGACATCATAGCAGATAACTGGATTTCAGTTTGTATCAACCCTGCAGCCAGTTACACCTGCCACTGCACTTAATAAAGTTGGAAATGGATCACAACACAGAGTCCTGCACGTCTGTCAGGGATCTCATTTCTCCAATCTAGGGGGAGGACTGGGGCCAGTGCTCGGTGATTTCATTCAGTCGCTGGCTGATTGCTAACAAGGCCAAAAATGACCCTCGGCRTGAGATGGACTTGAACGCACCACCTGCCATTGTTGGGCCACGTGTGAGCTGTGACACATCCCGAATCAAGTGGCCATAACAAAACAATGAGCGGGGAAGTGTTTACCGCTGAAAGGAATAGCATGGCAAACTGTGGAAATCAGAGATGTACAACAAAACCAGTCGGCCAGGATCATGTAGCAATCAATACACTTTTTTTCTTTACACTTTTCCTTTTTTTATTTCTTGTTTCTCACGTTCACACTCTCTCGCTAGTTGCCATAGTGACATAAATGGCTCCTTTCTGCAGCACTAGAGCATTGCTCTTGTAGCCTGTGAGCTGCATTGTTTTACATGGGGTTTCAGAACATCACACACACTCACACACATACACACACACACACACACACACACACACACACACACACACCGATCTTTTCTACAGCCTAACCCTGACCCTTTTCTACCTGGATTATTGAGATTCATCAGGACATACAAACTAACGCATACTAACTTTGTGTTTGCAGTGCGACAACGCCAAAGGACTGAGGGCCTTTTTTGATGCCATATGCTACGGTCCCAAACACCTGATGATCTTCGGCGGGGTCTGCCCCTCTGTCACGTCCATCATCGCAGAGTCTTTGGAGGGTTGGAATCTGGTGCAGGTAAGGATGGGTTTTATGCAGGGGCGGTTCTAGGGGCGGGCCCCTGTTGAAATTTGATTGGCCCGCTGAAGTGCCACCGTACTGTCACTCATCTGTCCTTTGCCCAAGAGTGATGATGCTGGGTGCAGTTTCATGTCCAAACACTAGAGGCGCTAATGAAACCAATGGAAAAGTCCAGCATGAGTCAAGGTGACAGGAGTCTTTTTTTTTCTTGTCTTAAAATTTGAACAATCCCGCAGAAAAAGTCTTTCAACTCACAAATGATGGCTGGATTTTCTCACATGCTGTTTGTTTGAGAGTATTTTATCTACGCACTGTAAAAATGCATGTGAAATTGATAAGGAGAATTTACTGTGCAAGCTTTTTTTTTAATTACAAGTGTTTATATGTGTGACTGGTTAAATACATACACCTTACCAAAACCAGGGATGTTTGTGCAAGGATGCTGAACAAATACTTGGCCCCTCTATGAATTTTGTGGCCCCTTGATGGCCCTTTACTCAGAAAGATCCCAGATCCGCCACTGGTTTTATGTTTGGCATGCGCACTTATTCAAGGGGCTGTTTTGTTGTTGCTGTTTCATATGTTAGGTTGCCTTTAGGCCCAGGCCTCCCTAACAGCAATCATCTGTGATCTGAATGGGATGTTCCCRGTTAAGTAAAAGTTRATAAATAATGATGAATAAAAGTTGWTTAAATTTCCTTTTTGTTTTGAATTTATCTGTCCTAAGTTCCAAATGTGGCCCTAATCTTTATCTGTAGCYGTTTCAAAATGAGTCTGTAATTCTGCATGGATTTCCCTTCATTTGATCCTAATGGATTGAGCCAAAATGGTTAAAAACATTGATTAAAGGGATAAAAAAAAATCAAAATGTTGGCTTGTTGTTTTGTCCAAACACAAAAGAGGCAGATGGCTGTCAAATGTGGTTTCACGCGCTCACATTTCTAAACTTGCTTGGAGGGTGTTTTGTCATTGCTGTGAACTAATGAAAGCCTAAGTACTCAGGTCAGTTAAGCTAATTAGCTGCATTCATATTTCACCATTCAATTACTCTTGCTTCCAAAATGGCATTTGCTGCTATTAATTCTGTGCAGCATCATGATTGCTCAGAGCATATTAACAAACGTTTTTGCCCCTCACATTTTGTAAACTTTTGACCCTTTTGAGTCGCTGCTCACTGTGTGTCTTTGTCGCGATTCTGTAAGTACCAGCGAGGGGAATAGCCTCTCTCCAAATAATACATTTCATTTGCTGTAAACCCCGCAAAGGTTATCAGGCAGAGATAAGAAGGCAGGAAGCTTGTGCTTGAAAAAGAGAGCATAATTCAAGAGGCAGCGTTTTGAACTGAATGTCACATAATGTTTCATATTTCTTCTTGCGGTTGCAGTCAATCTGCAGCTTTTCATTATTCCTTTATGCTCGCTGTCATGTTCGGGTTCACAACTGAAAATATCAGTGGTTGGAGGTGATAAGTGTGTCTGTCTTTGTATTATTTCAATGGTATTGTCAGTCTGGAAGAAAGTTCGAGTTGTAGTTGAGTTTTGGGTGCTCTCGAAGTTGTGCGAATGTGTGTGTTTGAATGTGGTGTGTTAAAGTCTCTGGATATTGGTTAGCCTGAAAAAGATTCCTCGGCCCCACTTATGTGTTAAAGAACACCCTGTTTGGTACACTTTGTTCCCCAGAGCACTTTATCTGGTGAGGTCTTTTTATACCGACACAAGAACTGACATCAACAAACTGGGACCAGCCTTTTTCCAAAATAAACACCGTAGTGTTGACTCGATATGCTGCAGCAAGTGATTGGAGGGGTGCAGAAGTGCGGAGTCAGTGCCAAACTAAACATGGTTGTTCTCAGTAAGACCTTTTAGATGTGCGGCTGCCCCCAGGATGCTCTGAGGCCAGATAAAACAGCCGGATCCAGAGCAAAGGTTGTGGACTTTTAACCTTTAAGCTTGTCATCTTTTTCAAGACACACAAGCGTTTCCTAGAGGGGCTGAGTGGACAAAATCATTTCTGTTACCTCCTTAAGCTTTAATAAAAGCTTTTTAATTAATGCCAAGGTTTTATTTAGATGTCTTCATAGACTAATCGTCAAAGCGTTTTCAGTCTTGTTGTTTTGGCATATCAGGTTCATTTTAGTTTCATTCCTTTCCACTGTCGCCATAAAGCTGTTCAGAATATGAGAATTAAAATGATGATTTAAGTCATTCATTCAATTGGCTTTTCATAATTCACTGTATATAATTGTACTACATTACAATTTGAATGAATTGGTTGCTATTGGATTTGAAATGGATCTGTTTTGAAATTACCTGGATTTTTGGACTTGTTTTATCTTTTGTGCAGTAAGATGACTTTTATTGTTAAAAAGTAAAGATATTTGTTTTTAGTAGATTTTTTTCTTCTTTGTAAGATAAGACAAGATAAGATAAGATAAGATAAGATAAGATAAGATG